AAACACTGTTTGAGATGGAGTTTAACTCCACTCGAACGTTCGTAGGCAGATCTGTCGCAGTCAGAGTAATCTACGGTACCGGCCACCGGCTACAGTTAAAGGAGGTATTTTTTCACCTACAAGAAATCTTCTCTGTTTTGAGAAAGCTCTTGTTTTAGTATGATGTGGTAAATAAAGAAAGCAAGAACACCATTGGATTGCTAATAATCTAGAAATTYGTTAATAATTTCTTTGCAAAATCAGCGACAGTGTTACTGTGAATAGGAATAGCGACTTAAAATGTTGTGTTGAATTTTTACTCTAAGAAAGTGAAATTCATTCTACCWAGTTTTGCATTCGATTTAGTTCAATAAAGAATATCATTTTCTACGCATTTGGGATTTTAATTCAATCTTAAGATTGAGATTTTTTTTTTAGAAAACCGTTGGATTTCTCGTCCAAGCCAGACAATATCCGTAAAAGAAGGTTCGAATGTGACTCTCGCATGGCGATACATCTTGTCCAATAATATTACACCAAGACAAGTAACATTTGGAGTGTGGAAACCACCCGGATACATCAAGACGAAACTCTTACTGGTAACAGGATCTGGATCGACAATGGTGATAATAAACTCAAATTATAGAAAATATTTTTAGTTCCTCTGAAACATATTTATTTAAAGAAATTTAAGTAAATATTTTTTGTTTCGATTAGAATAATKAAGAAGGAAACAGAAAGCAAAATGGAATTACATTGTTTAGCGCGGGCTGTTTGCAGTTGACGTCACGGCCGCTATTTTAAAAGATTGTTAATATTGCTGCCTCGCTCCTTAGTAATGACTGGTCTGCTCGTTTTAYATAACTCTGTCAATCAGTTATTATTATTGTATGATTGCTTTGTATGTAGTTTGTAGTTTGCTTTTAGTATTGTTAATGCTGTTTATAGATGGTTTTCAATGCCCACCATCTTGGTTAAAACAAAACAAGAAGACTCAGTTTGTTGTTAAGTGTGATGGTCCAGGTGGTTGTAATTTTGAGAAATACTTCAAATCTGACAAAATTTAAGTCCAACCAAGATGGCGGCTTTGAAAACTGTGCACAACTTTAAGCTCTAATAACCGTTTTCGTTCTTATTAAGGTCAACAATTTAGTCAAAGGACGATTGCTCTTCGAAGGAACATTATCTAACCCGGGAACTGCTACCATCAAGATACTACACGTATCGATACAAGACAATAAGACGTATGGGTTTGAGATAGATACTGGACTTAGCCGTTCTTCATTCAAACACAGTTTTAGCTTGTTGGTGTACAGTAAGTTGATTGCTCTTTGCATTCGCGGTAAATGACGAACTAGTTTATATCACGTGATCCATTATCTCTTATACCTTGACTCCTTGACTCCGACATAACCTTGGTTAATTCATCGTTGTCCTTGAAAACTCATGGATGATGTGCGAAGCTTGTCTATACGCTGCTCTAGAAAGGCTTCAGCGGGCAAACCAGTTGTTCTAAGGCCGGAGGAAGAATTCAGACGGTATTTTCTTGAAATACAAGTTGCTGCTGCTAATTCTTTCAATTTTACTTCATCATTTCACAGCTTACCCTGCACGTCCTCGCATYGTTATTCAAGAAGTCGTCACTCATTCATATTTGCGGTTGCTATGGCAACAACCAATAGCTCATTTATACCCAATCACAAAGTACACAGTGTGGATCCGAAAGAACCAATCACGATGGAGAACCTCTAACACGACTTTGAAAGAATCAATTGTACAACTGTGGGGGGAGGGGAGGTATGAGTTTGGAGTAACCGCGTGGAATCGCTGGGGCCAGAGTCCATTGGAGGTCAATAATACAGTAACGATTACAAGACCTTCCCCAGCWACGTTAATATTCACTGGTCGTACTGAGAAGAAGACTGATCCTCGCCACACGACATGTCAGTATCAAGTTTATTTTGYCCTTCAGAAGACGGGGGGACCGCCAAACACTTTCCAGCCCGTACCCCCCTCCCCCTTCCCCCTGCCAAAAATCACACGTTCAACTTCTGTGACTCACATCTTCAAAGAGTCGTTAACACCACTTCCTTGTGCCTTAAAGTTTAGAAAATGATCACGTGATATGTTAGAGAATATCTCCCATCAATCACCAGTGATGTCAGGTCACGTGACTGACCCCAGTCTCCCTTGTTTTTAGTCTATAGTCATCTTTARATAGAAAGCGTACAAAGAAATATTTGTCGTGGAGGCGATGGTGTGAAGTTGCTGTCAGCTTTGTGATCGAATCTAAAGTTGCCTATTAAYTACGCGACCCAGACAGTCTGCATGAGGTTTGGACTTCCGTGTTCAGAGTCAGTAAATTTTTGATCTACAACAGACAAATACCCTGACATCTTGGACTGTACGGCTCCTCTGCCATGCCGAATAAATTATGTTAATTATAAACATGGAAAAGAAACGAACGGTGAGTCATGTTCTGCTAATTATAAGACATCGCAATGTCTTCTATTGTCTCGGCAGATGTCTTAAAGTGCCTAAAATTCCCTTTTCTACTTTTCTATTCAGCTTAGTTTGTAAATATGTGACTCACCTTTCGTCTCGTGTCGATGTTAATTATAATTCATTCCGAATATGGCRCAGGAAACGTGAAGGGGACTATTGCGAAAATAGGTGTGATATTATGTAACAAAGAGGATTTTTTTTAACTTTAAAGATCGAACATCTACACATCTTCCTACAACAACCATAGCAAATCAAGACGAAAAACGAGGTTCAAAAGGTTTTTTTGAGAAGTTCATGACCCATATTCTTATCCTGATTGGTGTAACTATTTTGGTGACGTGTGGGATTTGTCTGTGTGTTGCTGTGCTGCGATGCCGACGAAAAAATACCAAAGGTTT